AGTTGGAAGAGACCTCATGGGCCATCCAGTCCAACCCCATTCTACCAAGAAGCAGGAATATTGCATTCAAATCACCCCTGACAGATGGCCATCCAGCCTCTGTTTAAAAGCTTCCAAAGAAGGAGCCTCCACCACACTCTGGGGCAGAGAGTTCCACTGCTGAACGGCTCTCACAGTCAGGAAATTCTTCCTCATGTTCAGATGGAATCTCCTCTCTTGTAGTTTGAAGCCATGGCTCCATTTTGTCCTAGTCTCCAGGGAAGCAGAAAGGAGGCCTGCTCCCTCCTCCTCCCTGTGGCTTCCTCTCACATATTTATACATGGCTATCATATCTCCTCTCAGCCTTCTCTTCTTCAGGCTAAACATGCCTAGTTCCTTAAGCCGCTCCTCATAGGGCTTGTTCTCCAGACCCTTGATCATTTTAGTCGCCCTCCTCTGGACACATTCCAGCTTGTCAATATCTCTCTTGAATTGTGGTGCCCATAATTGGACACAATATTCCAGGTGTGGTCTAACCAAAGCGGAATAGAGCATGGGGAGCATGACTTCCCTAGATCTAGACACTATGCTCCTCTTGATGCAGGCCAAAATCCCATTGGCTTTTTTTGCCGCCACATCACATTGTTGGCTCATGTTTAACTTGTTGTCCACGAGGACTCCAAGATCTTTTTCACACGTACTGCTCTCGAGCCAGGCATTGTCCCCCATTCTGTCTCTCTGCATTTCGTTTTTCCTGCCAAAGTGGAGTATCTTGCATTTGTCCCTGTTGAACTTCATTGTGTTAGTTTTGGCCAATCATCTCTCTAATCTGTCAAGATCGTTTTGAATCCTGCTCCTGTCCTCTGGAGTATTGGCTATCCCTCCCAATTTGGTGTCGTCTGCAAACTTGATGATCATGCCTTCTAACCCTTCATCTAAGTCATTAATAAAGATGTTGAACAGGATCAGGCCCAGGACGGAACCCTGCGGCACTCCGCTTGTCACTTCTTTCCAAGATGAAGAGGAGGAAGCATTGGGGAGAATCACACTCTAGGTTTGTCCATTTAACCAATTACAGATCCATGCTTATGAAATGCTAAGTAGCATTTCATAAGCTGGATCTACATTGCAGGATTAATGCAGTTTGGCACCACTTCAAATGCCATGACGGTCCCATCTGAACTTGCAGAAGTATTTAATTGCGAAGCTTTAGAGCGACGAGAGTTTGAACTTTGGGGGTTGCACAGATTGGGAGGAGACAAGTCCCATTCGAAGCAGGAATCTGAACACGCTTGTGAGTTTCTTTAAGCATTTGGAGAACTGATTTGGGGTGTGGGTTTGCAATGTCAGACCGTTTGAGAGCCTTGAGTGATAATGTCCTACGCAGATGTATTTTTTGAGCCTTCTAATGTTCACACACTCAAGAAAGAGGAATTACCCAATTACAACTATGCTCCAAATAGGCTGCATGCTCTCCAACTCATGTGTCAAACTCAAGGCTTGCAGGCCAAATCTGGCCCTCCACGGCCTTTTATGTGGCCCTTCAGACTTTGGACGACAACTCTTGTATTCCTCCCCATTAGACATCAAGATTAGAGCAGATGGGAGTTGTGATACATCTGGAAGGCTGCAGCTTGGTCTGTTGAGTCAGGAGAGTGAGATTTGGATTGAGATACAAGGCTTGTGGATATGGTGGCTGGTTTTAAAATGTCCTTTAATCTTTCCCCAACCTCAGGGTCACAAGGGCTGTTGAGTTGCAATTGCCATCATCCCCTGCCCACATGGTAAATAATAGGGCTGGGCGGTTTCGTTTCGTTAATTCGTAATTCGTTAATAATTCGTTATTTTTTTCAATTACAAAACGATAACGAACCATTCTGGAGCAATTATTTAAAAAAAAGAATTTTCAAAAACGTTTTGTAAATGCTTCGTATTTCGATATTGTATTCGTTTCGTTATTGTTTTGAGGTCGTTTCGTTATTATTTCCGCATGTCTGGGCCAGTTTTATGGTTTAATTAGTGAAAAAAAATTATAATATCACACCAACAGTCAACAACAGAGGGAGAGGGAAGCTTCAGAAGGTTTTGGAGGTTTTTTAGCGTATTTCGCTGTCGCGTCCGCCATTAACGAATCGATTCGTTATTGTTTCGGAAATCGATTCGTTAATTTTTTACCATTTACGAAATTTCGTAAATATCGAACTTTTTAAAAGGAAAATTTTGTAATTATTTTAAATATCGAAACAAAAAAAAACCCCAAATACAAATCGATTTTAGAAACAAATTTTTCCGTTGTTACCCAGGCCTAGTAAATAAAAATGATAGGAGTTGTAATCCAATGACATGGGACTGATTGCATTGAATTTCCCATCATCCTCTGTCCATATGTCAGATTAATATAAAATGATTGGAGTTGTCATCCAATAATTTTTGGGGACTGATTGAGTAGCAACTCCCATCATCCCCTGCCCACATGGTGAATTAATAAAAATGATGGGAGTTGTCATCCAATAACATCTGGGGACTGATTGTGTTGCAATCCCATCCCTGTCTGCATGGCAGATTAATAAAATGATGGGAGTTGTCATCCGATAACATCTGGGAACTGATTGCATTGCAATTCCCATCATCCCCCAACCACATGGTGGATTAATAAAATTATGGAAGTTGTCATCCAATAACATCTGGGGACTGGTTGTGTTGCAATTCCCCTCATCCCTTGTCCACATGTCAGATAATATAAAATGATGGGAGTTGTCATCCAATAACATCTGGGGATGTTATTGTGTTGCAATTCCCCTCATCCCCTGTCCACATGTCAGATAATATAAAATGTTGGGAGTTGTTATCCAATAACATCTGGGAACTGATGCCATTGCAATTCTCATCATCCCCCAACCACATGGTGGATTAATAAAAATGATGGGAGTTGTCCTCCAATAACATCTAGGGACTGATTGTGTTGCAATTCCCCTCATCCCCTGTCCACATGGCAGATTAATAAAAATAATGGGAGTTGTCATCCAATAACATCTGGGGACTGATTGAATTGCAATTCCCATCATCCCTTGTTTGCATTGCAGATGAATTAAAAATGATGGGAGTTGTCATACAATCACATCTGGGGACCCAAACTGGGTATAAACAAAAGAGTACAGACCACTATGAACAAAAAAATACAGTTGCCCCTCTGTATCCATGGATTTGCGGTCCATGGATACAATGAGCCATTGAAGGCAAATAGTTGCTGATTTTGTCACATACTACAGTATTTTAGCTACAACATTGTGGTGTGGTCTAGAACAGGAGAACATCTATGGCGATGCCATCATGAATTACTAACCACAGCGATGTCACTAAGAGGAATACAGCCTACGTCTTGTTTGGAAGCCTTACGAAGGAGAGACACACATACAAAGCAACCTGCTCTGATTCAGACAAATCCTAACAACCAACAAGGACAACAACTTTTTCTCACCCACCTCTCCCAAGGGACCAAGGTGGGAAGCAAAAACAAATGACATAACACATGAGGTCAGCTTTTTAAAAATCAATAAAACCAATCCATATGAAAATCAATCAATAAATATGATAACAATGCGACCCTCATTCATATCCATGGGGGAAATGATCTTGAACTTAATGTGGAAACAAGAAACTGTGGATAATAGTGAACCCCATTGAAATAGAGTCCCTGAAGAAGACTAGAGAAGTATCTTTTCTAAGAAATTGCTAGGTTATATTTTGTTGGATGCAGATAAGTTAAACTGAAGGTACCTGTTCTATGAGTACAGGGATTGTACTATGTAAAAATAATCTGGGTAGGCTGCTGGAAGACACTGGTCTCCATTGCTGTTATAAATTCAGACAGTTGTCTTTGGTTCTCAAAGCTTTTTTGGCAGGTCATTCCTCAATTTGTGGGCAGCTGAAGAAAATGTACTGGTTGGATTAATTGAATTGCTAGGTTATATTTTGTTGGATGCAGATAAGTTAAACTGAAGGTACCTGTTCTATGAATACAGGGATTGTACTATGCAAAAATAATCTGGGTAGGCTGCTGGAAGACACTGGTCTCCATTGCTGTTATAAATTCAGACAGTTGTCTTTCGTTCTCAAAGCTCTTTTGGCAGGTCATTCCTCAATTTGTGGGTGGCTGAAGAAAATGTACCATTGTCGGATTAATTGAATTGCTAGGTTATATTTTGTTGGATGCAGGCAAGTGGAACTGAAGGTACCTGTTCTATGGGTACAGGGATTGTACTATGCAAAAATAATGTGGGTAGGCTGCTGGAAGACACTGGTCTCCATTGCTGTTATAAATTCAGACAGTTGTCTGGTTCTCAAAGCTCTTTTGGCAGGTCATTCCTCAATTTGTGGATGGCTGAAGAAAACGTCGCATTGTCAGATTAATTGTGGGTGACTAAAGTAAATGTTTGCATGGATGGACTTTATAGAAAAAGGTGGCCTCATAGGTAACATGGACCCAAACCATGTAGGACCTTTAATGGTAAGAGCCAACACCTTCCATCTTGCCTAAAACCCAATTGCTATCCTTGTATTTGCAAGGGATACATTCCCAGACTTGGCAAGGATTCACAAAACCATAGATAATTACGAACACGATTGAAAAGAAAGCTTTCCAGCCTAAGAGCACTGGAGGACCTAGAAGATGCCTACAGAGGATGTTATTATATTGCTTTTATTGTCATTGTATTACTTTTACTGTTAGCTGCTTTGGGTTCCTTTTTAGAGAGATAGAAATAATAGACAAACAAACCAACTGTGCTTATTGATCACATGGACCATATTATATTGTACAAAATTTCCCAATGTGGCTTAAACCAGAAATAATTGCATGCATCACCCAACCGTTGCACAGCTACTTGGAAGCCACACTGGTTGCCTCAATCCACATCCAAAGAAGGTGCAAATTCCATCAATGACGCAAGGTATCTCTGATGGAAAAAGACGACATCTCACCCTAAGGTTGAGTGGAAAGGAAAGAAGGGATGCCCACTTACCTTGCTGGCTGTGCCTCTGGACATAACCTAGAGCTGCTGCTGCTGCGAGGACCACCCAACACAATGCCGAGACCGGGAAAGCCATCTAGAGAAGAAGACAAACAAAACAGGTCAGTGGGACCAAAGCTGAAGGTGAAGAGGTGGATGGTAGGCAGAAGAAGGGAGGAGAAGTGTAGGATGGAGGTTTTTGTATTACAGGAGAGGTTGAATCTGCTCCAGGTTTTGGTCAGAACTTGAAAGGAGCTCCTCAAGGCAAAGAACCACCAGACCCTTCAATGGGTACCCTAGATATTTATTTATTTATTTATTTATTTATTTATTTGCTTTATTTGTATACCGCATTTTTCAGCCTAAACAGGTGACTCAATGCGGTTTACAGGTACAGTTATCAAACGGTGTCAGTGCAATTAAAAACATAACAGTGCAACAAACAGGATCAACAACATCAATCCACAATAGTTAGCAAACCAAACAAGACAAGTCAACAAAACAAACATAACATAACGCCTCAGTTGAATCAGATCCGTTCTCATAATCATTGTGCCATTCCTATGTTCCATTTACCGTCTTCCTTTGATTGGTTGCACTGCTTAACCGAACGCTTGTTCATAAAGCCAGGTCTTAACCATTCTCCTAAACGTCAGCAACGAAGGTGCCTGTCTGATGTTTGCCGGTAAGGCATTCCATAGCCGAGGGGCCACCGCTGAGAAGGCCCTGTCTCTCGTCCC